TAGTGTGTAGTAATAATTTGCAATGTACTTGACGAGTACTTATACAAGTAATGAATCTATAAGGATATGAACAATACACACACACTACTCGTTATTTCACAAGTAAATTTCAAAAATACTTGTGACAATTAGGCAATTTGGAAAATATCAAGAAATTTTAATAAAAGCAAATGTTGTGTTGTCACCTTTATATTTACGTGTGAAAGAAATGTGAAAAGAAATATTTGTATTTACTTAAGTTTTTCAATGAAATGTAAAGATTTAAATTATTTTACAAATATGGGTATCTCCAGTCTACTGCACACTACTCGTTACTTCAGAAGTAAATTGTCAAGTATAACTACTTGTCACAATTAGCTTGTTAAGCATATATACGTGAAATAGTGCAATGTGTACCCAACTTTTAATTAAACAAATTTTATCTAAAAAAAAATTAAGTGTTACGTAAATTAAGTTTTGCAAAGATATGTAAAGATTGAATCGTTACTTTACAAGTAAATTATCAAGTATATCATCTACTTGTTGCAATTAGTCAATTTATAATCATACCAAGAAGTACTAAAACCATAAATTATATAATTAAACTTGATACGAAAAATAATGCAGTGTGTACCCACCTTTACAATAAGGTGGGGAAGTAAATATGAATTGTGTCTAAAAAAAAGAAAATTTGAATCGTTACGTAAATTTTATTTTCCAAATGAATAGCTTACAAGATTATTGAAAAAAAAAACATCTAGTTTTAAGTCGACTACACACGTTACTCGTTACATCGCAAGTCAAATGTACTTGTAATAATTAGCCGATTTTAACACTGAGATATTTATCAAATAATTACTATGTAAACATCTTTAAATTAACGTTTTAAGAAGAGAGAGCGAATGCGAAGAGAAGTGTATATTTACATTAAGTGTACTTAAATGTCAGTTGTGTGTGTGTGCACTTAAATAGTTAAATTCCTTCTAATTCGGTGTTTGAATAAATACAGCTAAACTAATTCCCGCACGTTCGTTGTATCACGAAGTTACCCCGCGTATTGATTGATGACTTTGCTCCATTCGTTCGGGAAATTCCTCTGGACGTGTGCGAGGACCTTCTGGATCTGCCTCATCTCCATCGGGGTGCACTGCGGGCACGAACCGCGCAACACGAGCGGTGCCAAACCTGAAGAAGTAAATAAATTAGAAACCGAAATACTTTTTTCTCTTCTCCTTTTTTCTTTCTGTTCGTGAAGAACGTGCCAGTGTTCAACACACTTTCTACGAAAAGTGAAACCCCGTGAATCACATAACCGAACCGTTTTTAACACTTCTTTCTTTCTTTCCTCATTATTTTAAGCAATATATTTCTAAACCTTTATTTCTAAAGTACGCATTACTAAACGTTTTATATAAAGAAAAACTAAAGTTTTCCAATACACAAAAAATACTTACTTTTAATTAAATGTATCTAATTTTTAAGGTTTTCAATTTAAGAGTTTATATAACATTTTTTTCTCTAAATTTCAACTAGAACCGAACCGTTTTTAACACTTCTTTCTTTCTTTCCTCATTATTTTAAGCAATATATTTCTAATACTTTATTTCTAAAGTACGCATTACTAAACGTTTTATATAAAGAAATACTAAAGTTTTCTAATACACAAAAAATACTTACTTTTTAAATGTAACTAAATTTTTAAGGTTTTCAATTTCAATTCAAGAGTTTATATAACATATTTTTCTCTAAATTTCAACGAATATTCAGCTAGAACTAAATTATTTAAGCAAAATAATTTAAAATTATATATTAAATTTATTGATTTATTTATTCACTAATTATCAGAAAGTTTGTTGTCTTTTGTAAATATATTATTTCTAATGCAAATTCTGTTATAAAACTGTTTCAATAATACTTGATAAACTAATTAAAAGCTGACTTTTGCTCTATTTAATGATTTTTTTCAACATATATTTTGCATAAATCAGAAAGTGTTTTAAATTGTAAAATTACAAACAACAACAACAACAAAAAAAATGCAACCACAAAACTGCACGATTCAGACTTAATTATGATGATTAATGTGAAAAAATCAATTGAGAATGTTTCCAGTTACTGCGACATACTTACATAAAAAAAAGGAAGAATCGACACGTTTGCATTGTCTTACGCTTTGTCATGAATTATTCACAATTGTTGTGTCAATGATCGACACAATTATTACACTACATATTAAACATGATGTATAATCGTTAACTAATTAATTTCAATACTTAATTTGTTAGATTAATATTTCTTACTTGAAATTTTGATAAATTTTGTTACTTTCTTATATTCGTGAAAAGATTAGAATGTTCTTTTGATGATAATTATAAAATGTAAATTATAAATAATCAAAATTCATAAATTACAAAGCGAAATTATAGAAAAAACGCTTAGTTTTATACAAATATCATCGGAAAATTTAAACTGAGACCACAAATTTAGTAAATTTTTGTCCTTTCTTGAACCCTTGAAAAATCAATGATTCTTTTACGAAACTGTTTGAGAAGCACTGGTGTTATATAAGTAACTGTACGGAATTCCGTTGGAGAGCGAGCGGTGTTTGCGAATTCAGTGTTGTCCGTGTCTTATGGTCTGCGGCATAGAAATCGCGTTTCAATATTGACGAAGTAACCGAAACTAATTTCCTGCGTGCAATTATGATTTCAAGGATCGTGCATAATTTGTGCAATATATATAAAGTAAAAAAAGAAACGTGTGAAATGTGTGTGAATATAACATACTTTTGAGTCTCCTTCCGACGGGATCGCAGGGGGCTTCGCCAAGGGCGCATTTCAGTTGTCTCATGAGGTAGCGTTTATCACTTAGGGCCATTTCGAGGGCATCTTCAGAGATCTCCGGTCTTTTCGTGGCTTGAGGCGCACAGAACACGCCGGAGATGCCCATCATGAGAGCGACGACGAAGCAGATCTGAAGACACAATCATAATAATGATATATTAAATAAGTGTTAATTAACGAGAGAATTGTTAGAGTATTAAGTTTTGTGTGTATTTACCTGGACTAGATGCATGTTGTTCGGATGCTGTACAGAGGGAAAGTGCGGGTGAAAGTAAACGGCGCAGCTCTACACCTCCCAACTCAACAAACTACCTGAGCCTCACCTCACCTTTTATTATGTAGCCGTTGACCTACCACAATTTCAGCACCGAATCCACCGGGATCCGGTTCTCGCCTATACCAGGAACCGTTCCGACGTGTAAAAAAAAAATTCCCATCTCGAGAGGGTCGAGGAGAGAAGAGAAAAAACGATCTCATCCAACATCCAGAAATCTGCGAGCATCATTAGCAAAGGCGAGATTAAAACAACAAAAAAATAACGAAATATAAAAGGGAGGATTTGCACGAGCGGAATGCAAATGATACGGAATAGTGTAACCATATTTTCGTCGACAGTTCTTGTGATTTTTGTTGCGGCGGCAATTAAATTTTAATGAAACTCGTTAAGACTGGAATAATTCACGTTCGTTCGTTCAATTCTCTCTTTTTGACTCTCCACATCTGTTTTCGGAAATCGGAATATGGAAAACAATGCTTTTCTATCTCTCTCTCTCTCTTCCACACAATACTCGTTACTTCACAAGTAAATTGTCACAAATACTTGTTACAATTAGCCAATTTGTAAAAAATTCAAGAAATGTTTAATAAAATATGACTTAGTAAATATTGTGTAGTGTGTG